ATGAACGTGGGAGTGTCCTTCCAGGACCAATCAAGATTCTTTAGAATTTGGTGGAACCTATGCTCGCGCTTGTTTTCTTACGATAAGGGAGCAGCGCTCCGCGTAAGCCCTACTCCCGACACTACGAGTCTAGTCTTATCTTAGTAGACGAGAGTTTTAATAATTTATAAAAGTTCGATTTTCCTTAACTAATATCCTTATGCGAGGCGAAATGTAACGACATGTTCTAAATTATATTAATGTTGTATATTTTAAGTTGGGTTAAAATATTTTATAACTTTATATATTATGACTCTTGGATTTTAGTTTCATTAAGAATAAGAGACAAAAGAAAGAAAAGAAAAAATAAAAGATATTCATCCTCGCATTCGGAAAGGTCTTAATTTTTACCATATACTACTACTTAATTATTAGGAATATATGCTATTGTTAACATTTTTCCAGAAAAAGGCCTTCGAAGGAAAAAGATTATAAAATAGATATTCTTTACCTACGTGACGCATAAGAGTATGCGAGCGTGAGCCATCTGCTGTTTGAATGTTTATAAACTAAGATAGGCCCTTCCATAAAAGGGAGGGTTACGAAATATAGATATAATGGAGACCAAATATCTGACTAAGACGAAATACCAAACTAGAAATAAGATAAAGAAAAATGTATGAATCATATATTTATAATAATGAAGAAAGAGGGATTTTTAGTGGGATGTAACATAGGCTAAAAAGTGGCTAAAAAGTGGTGACGATCCGATGTGTGCGCGAGTATAAGTGACAAAAGTGACAGGACAGACGAACTCCGAGTATCCAGTCGCGGACAGTGACAGTGCAAATTGAGAGTACGTGAGTGCGAATAAGATGAACGGCGAAGCAATGCTGATCACACATGACGAAAACGCCCCAGCTCAGACCTTAGAACAGCAACGGGTACAACTGGAGCAACAACGCCAGCAACTCGAGCAAGAAAGGCGCGAATTGGAGCAGCAAAGACGCGAATGGGCGCAGCAGCCGGCAGCATCAGGACTGCAGGCAAGAATGGAGCAGCAGCCAGCAGCATCAGGACTGCAGACAAGAATGAAGCAGCAGCCGATTCTTTTCGTACCCGGTGCAGAGGTGAGCCGCGTAGGCATGCGAATGCCCGAGTTTACTCCCGCGGATCCGGAGCTCTGGTTCAGCATCGTGGACCGGAGTTTCTTGGCCACCGGTATCACGGTCGATGCAACAAAATTTGGATACGCGTTGACGATCCGCGTTATATGATGGAGGTGCGCGACATAATAATGAACCCGCCCGCGGAGCGCGCATATGAGATTCTTAAGCCCATGGCACATAGAAAAACGTAAGGCCGTAAACGTAATCAGTAAGCGAATTGACCAATCACAGTTGAGAACGTAAGCGGCGGCTGCTTACGTTCTCAACTGTGATTGGTCAATTCGCTTACTGATTACGTTTACGTTTTTCTATGTGCCATGAGCTTTAAAGCCGAGCTCATTAAACGCCTCAGCTTACCTCAAGAACACAAAACGCGTAGACTGTTAGAATACGAAGAAATTGGAGACAGAAAACCGTCTCAATTTTTGTGGCATCTCCGAGGATTAGCCGGAAATGTAGTCGGAGACAAAGTGCTGCATACAATCTGGTTGTCCCGATTGCCCGTATATATACAGTCGCATTTGGTGACGCGCTCGGAGGATACCGTAGACCAGTTGGCGGACATCGCGGATGCGATCGTGGAGGCTACCCGGGCGCCAGCTTTTCAGGTCGCGGAAAGTGCGCGATCTTCGATGTCGCGGACAGTTCCGGAGGATGCGAGTGCAATTGAAGCAAAAATAAATGTACAAATAGCGCAGATGCGATTGGCGTTACAACAGGAGATGGCGGAGCAACTATCAGCTATCCGGGCGTCTATCCAGTCGATTCGCGATGCGGGACGCTGCCGGGATTGCGGCCGAGATCGCTGCGAGCGTAACTGGCACTCGCGTTCGCGTCCGCGCTTCCACTCGCGGAATCGTGGACACGCTCCAGGAGCACCGTGCTATTATCACTGGCGATTCGGGACCGAAGCAACACGGTGCGAGCCACCTTGTTCGATGCAGCAAGCGGAAAACGCGCCAGCTCTTCGTTAGCGGCGACGGACGACACGGGCATTCAACGCGTCGCCTTTTCGTCATCGACAGGAACACCAGGGTGAGCTTCCTGGTCGACACGGGAGCGGATCTGTGCGTCTACCCGCGAAAGATGGTCTGAGGACCACGACAAAGGTCGACATATGAATTATCGGCCGCAAACGAAACGGTTATACATACATATGGAACGGAAACACTAATTTTAAATCTCGGATTGCGACGATCATTTACATGGCGATTCGTAATCGCAGACGTAACGAAACCCATCATTGAAGCGGATTTTTTAGCACATTATGGTTGATCTAAAAAATATTCGATTAGTGGATCAATTAACAAATTTAACGGCAGCCGGATGTTGCGCGCAATGCAGTGTACCCAGCGTGAAAACGGTTAACGGGACAACACCGTACCACGAATTGTTGACGCATTATTCTGAAATTACCAGGTCAGAAGGACGACCAAGCGAAATAAAGCACGACACGAAACATTATATCGAGACAACCCCCGGGCCGCCCGTGGTATGCAGGCCACGAAGGTTGGCGCTCGAGCGCTCGGCGAAAAAGGAATTCGAAAAGATGATGGAGGCCGGAATCGCGAGACCTTCGAGAAGTAGCTGGGCGTCGCCCTTGCACTTGATGCAGAAAAAGAACGAGGAATGACGACCTTGCGGTGATTACCGCGCGTTAAACGCACGAACGATTCCGGATTGCTACCCTGTGCGACATATTCAAGATTTTGCTCAAGCTTTGCAAAAGAAAAATATATTTACGAAGATCGATTTAGTGCGGACATACCACCAAATCCCGATAGCGGAGGCAGACATTCCGAAGACCGCGATTACCACGCCGTTTGGAATGTTCGAATTCCCATTTATGTCGTTCGGATTGCGCAACGCGGCGCAAACGTTTCAGTGTTTCGTCGACGAGGTTCTGCGCGGCCTCGAATTTTGTTTCGCGTACATCGATGACATCCTCGTCGCGTCGTCGTCGGCGGAGAAACATCTCGAACACTTGCGGATTCTGTTCGAACGATTACAAGCATATGCAGTCGTAATTAACCTGGCAAAGTGCGTATTCGGAAAACCGGAGGTTGAATTTCTCGGTTACCTGGTGACCGGTACGGGGACGCGACCGTTGCCGGAGCGCGTGCAAGTGATTCGTGAGTATTCGATCCCGAAGACGGTTAAAGACTTGCGACGTTACCTGGGGATGTTGAATTTTTATCGGAGGTTCTTGCCGGGGGCCACGGAGACGTTGGCACCGCTAAACGACCTCCTCCAGGGTAGCGCGAAGGGCAAGGCGCCGGTAAGTTGGATGCCGCAGGCGGAACAGGCGTTCGAAGCGTCGAAGGAGAGCCTAATGCAGGCGGCCTTGTTGGCGCACCTGAAGACCGGCGAGGAGTTAGCCTTGTTCACGGACGCGTCTGACCGTAGCATTGGAGCTGCCTTACAACAGCGGAACGGAGACGGCTGGGAGCCGTTAGCATTTTTCTTAAAAAAGCTAAGCCCGACAGAAATTAAATATAGCGCGTTCGATCGAGAGCTACTGGCGATATACTTGGCTACCAAATATTTCCGGCACTTAGTAGAAGCGCAGAAATTCACGATATTCACGGACCACAAACCACTCGTGTTCGCGTTTCGTCAGAAGCCAGAAAAATGCACGCCGCGCCAGTTCCGACACTTATTGTTAGATTTCATCGGGCAGTTCACAATGGATATCAGACACGTGGCCGGCGAAGAGAACCTGGTAGCGGACGCCTTATCCAGAATCGAGGAACTCCAATTCCCAATGGACTACGCGACATTGGCAGCATCGCAGGAGGACGATAAGAAGATAAAAGAGTACACTCACAAGAAAAGCAGCCTAAAATTAGAAAAAGTAGAAATACCAGGAACGGGAGTCGCGATTTATTGTGACACGGCAACATCGACGCCTCGACCATTTTTAACAAAGCCATTTCGATGAGCTGCTTTCGAAATGTTACACAACTTGGCACATCCAGGAATTCGAGCGACGGTCAAACTCATGGCTCAACGCTATGTCTGACCGTCGATTAAAAAAGATTGCCGTAGTTGGGCTCGGGCGTGCGAACCGTGCCAGCGATCAAAAGTTACACGACACTTTACAGCACCAACGGGAGAGTTCGTTTCGCCTTCTCGGAGATTCGAGCATGTGAATATCGACATAATTGTAATGCCAAGCTCGGATGGAAAGCGGTATTGTCTGACATGCATTGATCGTTTTTCACGATGGCCAGAAGTGTTCCCTATAGAAGACCAAGAAGCAAAAACGGTAGCAAGAGCATTTTACAGCGGATGGATTGCTCGTTTCGGAGTGCCACTCCGGTTCACTACAGACCGCGGTCGGCAGTTCGAATCACGGCTGTTTAAACAATTAAACGAGTTGACGGGTACGACACATTTAAAGACCACTGCATATCATCCACAGACCAACGGCATGGTCGAGAGGTTCCATCGGCAACTGAAAGCAACAATCAAATGCCATGGAGATGACCGATGGACAGAGGTGCTTCCAACCGTGTTATTGGGAATACGCGCAGCGTGGAAGGAAGACATGCAGGCAACGGCGGCCGACCTTATCTACGGAGAGACGTTAAGGTTGCCAGAACAATTTTTAAAACAACACTAACCGGAGGAGATGAACGGCGCTGCCGATTTCATCAAGGAATTACGACGACACTTTGACGATTTGCGTCTGACCAAAGGTACTCGCCACGGAGAGCGACGACCATTTGTGTTCAAGGACTTGGAGACCACGAAGCATGTGTTTGTTCGCTACGACGGACCAAGGGCAATCCTGCAGGCACCTTACGATGGCCCTTACACGGTGGTTAAGCGCACCGACAAAATCTTCGTTGTGCGAGTCCATGGAAAGGATATTGTGGTTTCTATAGATCGAATAAAACCCACATATATCATTTCAGAGCCAACAGAGAACAACAAGCAGGTACAGACAAGCAGAACAACCGGAGTACCGGACGAGAGTAGAAAAGCAGGAAACAGAAACACGAGGCGAACCAAGGACACATCAGCCCCGCTGGAGCAAACGGTGACGAGAACGAAGTCTGGCAGGAGAATTCGTTTCTCGGACCGATTCCAAATCCAAGTCTGTAATTAACGTGCTATATCATATGTACATATATAAGAAATAATAAAAAAAATAGTATAGAATAGAGCTAACGCACGATGACAAAACGTAAAGTAGCTAATATATTATATTTGTATTAATTATATTATATTTATCGCGCTGTAAGTACAGCACTAGCAGGGGGGTACTGTGGTGACCAAGTCACCACTATCTCAGCTGTAAAAATATAATAACGCATTAAATTAAAATAGTTAGAGATATACAGAGATACACGAACACATACTTGACATACACAACGAGAAACAGTAATCTTAAGATGTCGTAAACTAATCATAACAGAGCCGTATAAGCGTTTTAAAAGACATTATTTATGAATACTAGTCACGGACTAGATACACGCAAGTGAGACGCGCGCGCCAGCCTTGAGCGCTGCATGGATCCGAGTGCTTATTCGTTAACACGTTGACTGCCACGGCAATTTTCAGAAATCTGGCCTAAAATGACAATTTGATTTAATCACATTATATTATTAAAAACTATAATTCTAGTGCATAGTTATCATCAAAAAGCGTAAAAATGTTGTTTTTTAAAAAAAAGGTCTTACGAATTATCTCGTAGTTGGCTTCTATAACAGAAATCTCTTAGCGGGAGCCAACTACGAGTTAATTCGCACACAGACACGCACAAACACGCTTCGACCTGTCGCTTCTCTAAAGCTAAATCATAGATACGCATCCATATTCGTCAGTAGTATCTCAGAAATTGTCAAGTGCATCACATTTACGTCTTTCTTGAGTGTTTTGTTTTATAATTATTGTTATAATTAAATTATCAAGAGCCCAGTATGGATAAGAAAAGACCACTGGCTCAAAATGAAACTGAGTACTACGCAAATCTAAGTGATTCAGAATTTG